CCTCCACTCAATTACTCACACCCCATCAATCACAGCTGAAAACCAACAACCATCACAAACCAACCACTGCACTCGTAGTTATTATACTAATTAGCTTGGCAAATACTTAATACTGTCGAATGATCACCGGCAAGTACTTCCGACATCTGTCTCTCTCCAGCTCTGTGTCTCTTTCTACTAAATAGTATAACTTACACCCAGGAAAATCACCCGGCGAATGGAATAAGTGGGGCTTAAGTGAGGGGGGGGAGGTCACGTTATATTTTCGCTGCTTATCTATCTACTTTAAGGTATTTATTTAGCATTAACTGCTAACTAGTAGATACAGTTTGTAAGTGTATAGGTTTGTGAGTCATGCGGCTTGCTCAGGCTGGATTCCGTACTCATGTCTGTAAGTAGAACCAACAATCATCGGCAACCGTGATCAGTACGTAATTGATCGGATGAGTGAATGAGTCTATATTCTGCATCTACTAATTTAATAACTACGAAGATCTACTGTATATGAAGCAAATCACTCTGATACAACAATACTAGCACAATAATTAAGTTGGGATCATGTGTATGACAAATCCATGTCGTGTGGACGTGGCGCAATATTCGTCATTACTATCTTCAATCAAGTGTAATATTGCAAATGCGGAGTATATCGGAAGATGTACATATGGATGTACTGTGTGCAGATAGAAGCGGTAAGTAAGCACCGTGGTGAGTTCATTTGTCAGAGAGATTGAGAGAATATCTATTTTTGTGATCGTTCAGGCATTTGTTTTTTTAGGATGATTCGGGTAATAGGGCGTGGTAATCTACTCCATGAGTCTACTACTACTACTAATAGTAGCGAGATGCAAGATGGCGCAATCAATAACATGATGATTATTCTACGGAGTACTCCCATCCCATCTGGGGGCGGAAGTTGGGTTGGTCTTATGTAAGAATCCGTTTTTTTTATGGGGATGGGGATTATTACAGTGATGATCTTGATATAATATTTAAGATTACAGTGTACTTAGTGTAGTAGGTGTTATAGTATAGTAGGTGACAAGCTTTGGGATATCAGCATTGAATACCCTTTTTTCCATTATTCATACGGTGGAATCCGGCACAGCCTTGAAGACGACTACTGCTAACCCTGACTGCCGACGGGGAGAGAGAGAGGGGAAGAGGAGAAGAAGAAAAAGCAAAGAGGACAGAATCGACCATCATTGCAACACGGGCCAAGCCTGATCATCAGATCGACGGTGGTCTGATTGGTTCACAGCGGTCCGGGATAAGCAAGTCGTTGGTGCCGTTCAGGTTGATTGTCGCAACGGCGAAAAAGGGGGTGGTGGTGGTGGACGGTGGTGCTACTACTTTTTACTTGGCTAGTGGGTTTAGCTAAGATCCACTTCTTCTTTACACTTGCCGCCGCAGATACCTACTGTAAGTATCTAGGTACTACTCTGCAAAGTGCAAAGCTTCTAGTTGGTTGGTCGGTTGGTTCGGTCGGGTCGGGTTTGAATTAAGTACCCTGCAGGTGCCTTGATTGATTGGAGGTGTTGGTACAGAGGAGATTAATACTTAGTACTGAGTTGACTGGTGGAAATTGTAAAGCAGCTAACTACAGTAACTACTGTAGGTACATGGTTAGTTGGTTGGTAGTGCTATGATGGAATAAGTAACTAGTACTTAAGTTACTAATAAGTATGGGGCGGGGGGCCCCGAGTCACGGGCGGCTCTAATGTTGAATGAATTTCCTATTTCGGGTATGATATGATAGGCGAGTGACAATCATGATTTGATGGCGGGAGTTGTCTAGGGAAAGCATGCGTGACGATCTTTTGTTCTGCTTCTTTTCCTTCTGCTGCTGATGGTGACGGTGTTTTGACATATGATGCTCATTCGGTAACGTAAAGTTAGTTCTGTAACTTGTTGGTTCCGTGGTTAGCTGTGCGTGTGTGCTGTGGTTTAGGGATAGTAGTTTGGTGTGGTTATGGATGGGTGGTGCCGCATAGACTGGTTTGCGCCCAGATCAAAATTAGTTTCATCGTAAGGAGAAGAAGCTTGGTCAAGGAGAGTGCTTGATTCTTGAGGTGGAACTAGGGCGTTTTATTCTAGGGCTGTTTTGACTAGTATCTTGCAGTTATGTAGGAGGTGGTGGTTCTTGTTTGTTCTATCTGGTCAGACCTTCTAGGGAGTCGAGAGTTGAAGTGACTTGAGACAGGGGATGATGATAGCGTTGGTACATGTGGGTCGCTCGTCCGCCCGCCATGGCGCTATCCAGTCACCCTACCCTTACTAACGTAAGTTAAGTACGAAAAAGTACGAGCAAGAAGTGAACTGATGGACCTTGTTGGGCAGGGGTGGAATTTTCGATCTTTTTTTTTTTTCTTTTTCGCGCTAGTCAATACTTTCATAAAATTTTTCTTGGAAAAATGAAAGGAAAAGAAAATAAGTTGAAAGGTCCTTGTGAGACTGTGAGATAGAATGCGACGATAGGATCGCAAAGCCACAGATACTTGAGGGAGATCCTATCAAAGGTTGCCGAACTTGAAGACGCCATTGATCAGGGTAATGTCACGCGAGTCCATCTACTACTTACTAAGTACTACTGGCCACAGAATCCTCACGGATAAGGCAAGGCAGTAGGCTGAAATGGAGGGTGTCCTTGGCCCCTGGTTGGCCCCCGAATTCACAACAATGTTCGGGCTGTCACGAGGGGGTTTGCCTGTCGCATGGATGGGGATGGCCATGATTGCCGCTGGGATTGGTATTTCCCCCCTCCTCCACCTTCATACCTGACGATAAAACAGGTTCGCCGCCATCGGAGCAGGAGGATGAAGAAGAAGAAGACGGTGTTATTGATGACGACGATAATAATAATTATTGATTTTCCCTCCAAGAACAGATCCTGCACATCGTTAACCAAAACGACGACTGGTCGGTAACCGAGCGTCTAATAAATTGCAACCTACGGGCAGAATACCTCAACTAGACTAAAACACGGAATCCTAGCAGTAGCCCGGCGCTTAACACCTGACTAGCTCACTAACATGCCATAGTCGGAACTAATCGAAGACTACGGAGAAGCCTTGAAAGAGATCTTGGTGGATCAGGTTGGGCAGGGAATGTCCTGCTTCCAGACTTGTATATGTGAAACATACAATCTTTGCGTTGAATTTGATACACCAACCCATAGGCCACTTGTTTTACTTCCCTGCCTAGATATAATCTACACCCAGGGTATGAAAGGTTAAAAGGAGAGGAATAAGGAGAGCAGAAGAAGATGCCACTTGTCTGAATATTGGTTCAGCGAACTGACTCAACCATGGTTGTGTAACGGCCCAGCTACAAGCTAAACCCACCAGGATGATCTGAATAGGAGACCATGGATCAGGACCGAATGGGTGGCTTGGGTCCCACAAACACGGTGAGCAGGTGATACGGGTAAACATAGATTCTTCAGAAGTGGTCTAATGAGTTCTTTCGAGTCTAAAACATGGGATAAAATTTATTAAAAAAAAAATAAAAAAGAAAATATTCCTAGCTTTATATTTTTGGTCCCATCTGATCTTTCAGATAAGTTTCGTTTCAGCTGTCTGGATGGGAGTTCCCCGATGATAAGGTAATCATGTCAGCAGCGGGTTAAGGCCAACTGCTCGCGAGCCGTTAATCTGCACGACGGGTAGCCAGCTAAGAATGGAGGGGAGCTGGCGACCTGTCATCAGAAAAGGTAGTTCTAGCTTCTCGCAGGAGTTGTCTGTCTTGGGGAACGATTCACCATGGTTTCAACCGCCCTTTGACCTCATAGGGGGAGGGGGACGGGGAGGCCAAGGGTTAAGGATTTATTACCTATTATTGGGCCGATGCGAGTAGTAGACTACTAGGAAAGCTCTCGCACCGGCGCAAGAGCCATCGTCCAGAAAATTTTTCGTCCAGTGAATCACTTCCCGACGGCCTGATTTATAGTTTGGACCCAATAACCGGCCCTTTTCTCCATCGATGGACACCTTTTCACACTCGAACGGGGTTCTCATTCTGACGGAGTTACTCCGGGCTACCTTGCCATGAAGTTGACCACTCCGGAGTAGAACTTCCAGTAAGGTACGAGCGTCGATCTGCAGACTACTTACATATATAATTCAAGCACATAAGATGTAGATGCCCAGTGAAAGATTTGGATTGACGGTCCCCATATACAGTAGTGAAGGGGGGATGATAGTAACGTGTCTGTGTGTGGGTTGTAAATTTTTTTTATCTTATTTTATTTTTATATTTTCCTTGGAAGGATGGTCTGATGATGATGGGTCAATCGAAGTAAGTAATTGGGGGGGGTCAACCCCTGATTGTTAGGTAAAAGGGCAAGGAAAAAATAAAAATCAAATAGAATAGAATAAAAATAAAAGAAAAAAACGGAAGAAAAAAAAATAGCAGTAGACTCACACCCTCACACACCACACACCACACACCCAAGTGACTAGACACTAAACCCATGATAGTTTAGCCCTGGAGCGGCCATCCCAGTATCAGGCCCACCCTCTTTCAGTCTAGGCTCTAGTGCCGCCCTGCAGCTCCCTGCCTGTTTGGGACGATGCGCCAATGACCAGGCCTCGTCGCCCACACCCTTTCATTTTCGCCCTCGCCCTCGCCCTCCTTTCGGCCCCTGCTCCTGCTCTCCCTCCCCTCTTTTTCTTGTCGCTTCCTTCCTCTTCTTCTTCTGCTTCTTTCTTTCTCTTCTTCTCCTCTTCTCCTCTTCTTTTCCCTCTCCATATTCATTCTAATCGTGACTGTCCGTCCCGGGTTCATTTCTTTTCCCACCCACCTTTTCCCCTTCATTGTGATACCCGAGCTCTTGTAGCTTTGCGCAAAGAGAGCTTTTGTTTCCTTCTGTTGAGATACCCCTTAAAGAGATACCCTGCTCGACGCGCGCCTTTAATTACGAAGCTTCACCAGCTTCCCTAGCTCTTATTTAATCCCATCCCTACTGATTATAATTACTCGTCTAATCACCACCCGACACCATGTCCGACGTTCAGAAGCCTGTCGAGGAGACTCCTGCGGCTGCCCCCGCCGTTGCTCCTGCTACTGAAGCGCCTGCTGCCACCGAAACCCCGGCCACCGAGACCCCCGCCGCTGAGGAGCCCAAGGAGACTCCCGCTGAGACCACTGAGGCTGCTGCCCCCGCCGCCGCGGAGGAGTCCAAGACCGAGGAGACTCCCGCCGAACAGCCCAAGGAGGAGCCCAAGCAGGAGGAGGTGACCCCCGCTTCTGAGGGTGTCCTGGGTTACAAGGCCCCCGGTCTCGTCAAGTAAGGCGCCACTTGTTGCGACAGGTTTACGATATGCAGTGACTAATGGAGTGTGACACAAAACAGGGGCCTCCGTTTCGCCAAGCGTTTCTTCTACTTCAGCGACGACGCTGTTGAGTCTAAGCAGCTGTCTGCCTTCCACCAGAACGAGAAGGCCGCCGTCGCCAACCCCATCGCCGCCTGGGCCAGCCAGACCGGCAAGGGTCTTCTGTTCTTCACCAAGCGCGCAGAGGACAAGGCCTCTCCCGCCGGCATCTTCAACCTGGTCAGTAAATATGATAGACAACCGGATAAACTTTGCGCCACTTGCTAACTCACTTTCCAGGCTGATGTTTCCGACATTGCCAAGGAGGGCTCCACCGAGCTGCACTTCAAGGTCAACGGCCAGAAGCACACCTTCCAGGCCTCCAGCACCTCCGAGCGTGACAGCTGGATTGCCGCCCTCGAGGCCAAGGCTGCTGAGGCCAAGGCTGAGAAGGAGGCTGTGACCTCCAGCGAGGGTTACAAGGCCGAGCTCGAGAAGCTGAGTAAGTCACATTCGTAGTTGAACAGCGTATAAAGTTAGGCCGCTAACCCCCAACAGGCAAGCCTGCTGTTGCCGAGCCCGCTAAGAAGGCCGAGCCTAAGGAGGAGGCTGCCCCCGCCGAGGACAAGAAGGAGGACAAGGCTGCCTCCAAGAGCCGCTCTCAGTCTCGCAAGAGGGCCAGCATCTTCGGAACTCTTCTTGGAAAGAAGGAGGAGGCCAAGGAGGAGGCTGCCCCTGCTGAGGACAAGGAGGACAAGGCCGAGGAGGCTAAGCCTGCTGAGGCTGCTACTGAGGCTCCTGCTGCTGAGGCTCCGGCTGCCGCTGAGACCACTGAGGGTATGTTTACCGTATAATAATGTCTTCAGTACACGAAGTACTAACGCCAACATAGCTGCTCCTGCTGAAGCCAGTGACAAGAAGGAAGAAAAGGAGGAGAAGAAGGAGGAGAAGGAAGAGAAGAAGGCGGAAACTCCTGCCCCCAAGTCCAAGCGTGCTTCTCTTTTCGGCAACTTCTTCCAGAAGGTCACCAGCCCCTCCCACGAGAAGTCGGAGAAGGAGGCCACTGCTCCTGCCGAGACCGCTGTTGCTAGCACTGCTCCTCAGCTGGACAACCCCGTTGAGGAGGCCGCTGTGAAGCCCATCGAGCCCGAGAGCGTGACTGCTCCCGCTGAGGCTGAGGCTGCCAAGGACGCCGCTCCCGCTTCTCCCGCCGCTGAGACCCCCAAGGACAAGCGTCGCACCTCTTTCTTCGGCAACTTCGGCAAGAAGAAGGGTGACTCCGACAACGAGGGTGCCGATGGCGAGCCCAAGGCCAAGGGCAACAAGCTTGGTGGCATCTTCCGCAAGCCCAGCAAGGCCGTGAAGTCCGAGCCCAAGGAGACCAAGGAGGCCACCGAGGCCGAGGCTGCTCCCAAGGAGGCTACCGTTCCGGAGTCTCCTGCTGAGGAGAGTGCTAAGCCCGCTGAGGCTGCTCCTGCTGAGGAGTCCAAGCCCGTCGACGTCGCCACCTCTACTCCTGTTCAGGCTGCTGCATGAAGTGCTTCCCGCAAGGAAGTCGAGTATGAGAAATGGTGGGACCAGCGGTATTCGTATCCTAATCCTTCAACTTCTCGATGATCAGTCGTTCTGGAAAATGAAAAGCCCGGAAAAGAAAAAAATACATCCAATGATTGTTACTTTTTGTGTCTAATTGATGTTCCCACTGCCACCATTTTGGTATCCCTCCCTGTGCAAGGCGAGGTCTGCTAAGATGAGTGTCAATGATACCCTCTGCTGCTTTGGCGGTCATTTCCGAGCCCGGATGTCTATTGCGTGTCCGGTGCTGCGTTTCATTCCTTTATGATATGCGTTCCGCAAGGATACCCAACTGGCCTTGTGTGTTCATGTTGTGCGCCGTCCAAACTAGATTGATACCACTTGTTGCTGTTTATTGCTTGCTCTTTGATGTTCTCATGTTGCTGTTTGATGCTTTTGTCTTGATACCCTACTGGGAGGAAGGGTGCTTTTTGTCAGCTGGACGGGGACTTCCCTCCACTCAAATTGGCCCGAATCGTCGACTACCATGGCTACATGGTGACAGCGTGCTGATAGCGCCATGTATACATGGCACAGCATCATGAGGTAATACTTAATAGAATCCACGTATTGTTAGTAACATATCCACTATACTCTATTTCAATGCCTAGTAGTAGTGTATCCGGGGAGTTAGACTTAAGTGATTGTCGTACTTTGTTAAGGGCCACCGCGTAACGTGCTGACGGTCCACTTGGTGTGCGGGGTGGGGACTTGAATGTAAGCTTATCATAGAAAACGAGCATGGACGTTGAGCTGGCGGCTGCAGCTATCAAGCCGCTGATAAGGGCATAAAATGACCTATCATTCAACAAGTATCCGATATGGTGTAGTGGCTAACATCGCCGTCTCTCACACGGCAGCCGGGGGTTCGATTCCCCCTATCGGAGCTCAAATTCTCTTTTTGTTTTCTTTCTTTCATCCATTGCACATTGTTTTTGTGTGTTATACATAAGGGAGTCTTTTTTTTGGACCTCAGGTAGCTTTCAATTGCTGTCCAATATAACCCTTCTATTCAAGTACTAGTAGTACGTGTACCAAGCCTTGAAACTAGCCAATATACCCCGTCATCGCATCTACTCTGGATATAAAAAGGGAATACCAGCCTCGCATCACAGATATATATATCCAGTCGATCATCATGATGCTGTGAGGTCAAGGGCACTTCTTGAGTTAGTATCTATGGTCATCATATCGCCACAATTGATTTCTATGGGTTGTTCCTCACCAACCCTCCCCCCCCCCCTCAAAGCCGCATCCGCAGGTGTGTTGTATATACATGAGAAGTAAACTTCTGGGCCTGATAATACAGTAATTTAAACTTTCGTGTGGTTATTAGTTTTACTAAGACTACTATAGTACAATCCACCGGTGCTTTCATTTCTGTATTCTGCATGTTCATGTTGGTTGATTGCCGCCTAGTCTCTCTACATATCCATCTAACCCTTGGCACATCGTAATGTGCTAGCAGTACCCAATAGACATACCCCGTCAAGATAACTCAGGAAATATGTGTACTTCGTTGATGCCTGGGGGTGGAGTGGGGTATAGAGTGGTCTGGTCTGGTCTGGACTAGACTGTGCTCCGTCACGCATCAGGGTCGTGTGTATGTCCTTAGTGAATGTTAGGTATGCTGCCTAGTAAGTAGGATTCCGGTTTGGGGTCTTTGGGGTGAATCTTTTCTTTATCTTGGCGAGGTAGTTCGTTGACTTGGGTGCCTGGAGTTAAATGGATGTGTTAGGCATCAGGGTTCCTGAATTGGGGGGGATTTAGGTTGTTTGACTGGAAGGTAGGATGGGATGGGACGGGATGGGGTAGTAGTAGTAGTAGTTCGGTTGTGGCTTCTGAGGCATGGCGTATGTGGGTGCCTGGTTGTGTTATCTTGCGGTAGTAGATCCCTCCTGGGAAAAGGATGACATGTCTTGGATAGTACTTTGGGGGTGGTAGCGGCTAGATTGGTGTATACTCTGTAGACTAGTTGTGTTGCAGGCGTCGAGAGTAGTGAGGCTGCGATTGTATCTGTGCTTTGGGTGGATTCAGTGGTTGTGTTTCGGATGTGGGGTTTGATTACTACTAGGTGGTAGTAGATAGGTAAGGTGGTGGTCCTCTGCTTCATAGGAGTGGATGAATATGGCTGAGGCGAGTTCAGGCGCCTAGATAGTAGTACTGCTGACAGGTGGCCAGAGCTTATATTGCTTGTCTGGCTTGGTGATGTTGGTGATTGGTTCTATTCAGTTAGTGTTGTGTTGTTCTGCATCATGTTTCTTCGGTAATATATATTTCAGTTGAATAGTGGCCGGAGGTAAAGGCTACGACACATACAAAATTCCTACATATGCACAACTACCATACACTGCATACGGAGCAAAGCATTGAATGAGAAACTTGCATTCCCCTTTAGACCGAATCAAAAAAATGAACAGGGATAATCGACAGCATGGGCACTTGACAACCCACGCAGCCCTGGCAGCCTGGCGCCTGCACGGAGCGCACGGGTAATTCGCCTAGCGCCGGAACCATCACCGTCGCCAATTCGACAGGAGGGGGAAGAAAGGGTTCAAGGAGGGGGGAAAGGGAGAGGGAGAGGGAGCATATGCAAAAGGGATCACACATCACGGCTACTAGTACTACTATTGTTATTCGTGCAATTGTCTTGCATTCGCAGGGTCTGCCTAATCAGCTCGAATGGAAGGGATTAGTTGTACTCAGGCTAGGTGTACCATGCAGCACGAATCAATCCCGTAAGTTTCAAGTTGAACACGAAAATGAAAGCTTGGTTTACTTTTCCCGAGTCGTAGACAATCTAGTTCTACTGTGTAGTGCTGACCAGGCATCATCGACTCTCCCTGGACAAGACGTCATCGCCGGCGGCTGCCTGGGGACAGGACAGGCATGGTATAACCGGCCTGCATACGGCGGAGATGCGCGCGCGCCGCGGCTGATGTATGCAGACGCTGATTGGCATCCTCACTCGGAGCAGGTTGCAACGGTATCTACGACGCCCTAGGGCATGTACATACGTACGACATGTGCGATGTCGAGATGTGTTGAATTGTCCGTCTCCTGGTCAACTGAGGGTTGACTTGGCAGGAGATGGTAGGTACGTAGGTTGTGAAGTCGGAATTGTTGCCTAGTATTCTCCCTCCATTTACTCCTTCTAGACCACGATCTTAGAAATGCCAACTTCGGATGGAAAATGGAAATGGACACAAGTGGATTTTTTTTCCGCTTTGCAGGTAATTGGCTTTCAGGTTTCACATGGGCCGGTTGGTCCCGTGCATTACTAATTAGAATGAGGAATTCCAATAGTCTTGGTCTAGTCTAGTAGTTATCTTTTATGCTCCGCCCGGAATATACGACGCACCTCCCCGGAGATAATACGACCCCCCCCGACGAATATACCATCCCTGTTGCAGCGAGAATAATCTCCTTAAAATCTGACTGGACCGGATTCAATTTAATTCCCTTGTATTTGTGTGGAATCCTTCCTAGGGCAATATTTCGCCAAGGGTCGTTTTAATTTAAAATCTCATTTGTGGTCAGATGAAGGCCGGAACGTCTCGGTGTCTTGATAGAGTTTGACCCAAGTGGAATTTCACGCCCTTCGAGCGACTTTGGCGAGGAGGGGGGCTGCAGGGCGGGGAGGGAATTAGGGAAAGGATCCTCCGACCGGGTGAAAAACCCTGGTTGCAAACCGGCTCTGTCTTTTTTGTCTAGTATCCCTTGGTGCGGCATCGTATTCCTGCGGCCCCAGTGAACCAGGCCAAGGACACGGTAGCCAGGAGTTGAGGCTTAGATAGAGAGATCCTACAGAGCACAAAGGGGAGTGACAGTCGCACGGGACAAGAGAGTGATGGACACAAGGACAGGTCTCATTCGCAGACAGTTGAGACATTGAGGCTCAGGCTCAGCCCCAATGACACCCCCGGGCGCTGCACCAAATGCAGACCCCGACGGGCTGTGATGAAGGCCCAGAAATGCATGGTGCCTGCTGGTTGGCCAATGGGTCCGGTCGGCGGCACGGGTGCGAACCGGTTTCATCACCCACAGTAAGTCGCGCGGCCTCTTTTTTTTTTTTTTCTTAGTATCTTCCCTTCATATTAGTCTAGTGGTGGTGGAGTTCAATGAAGTAGTCGAAGCAGGGCCAGGAATCCAAGGTTGAGGGGGGCCTGCTGCTACTGGGCCAGTGACCTGCAAGTGACATTTCCGTTGCGGGCTGAATGGAGGAAAGCCTACGTACCTGCCTGGTACTACACAGTAGAATACAGGATAATTGAAACTTGCTGCTCCAGGCACGGGAATGCCTGGGGCTCCTGCAGGCTCCACTTATTGGGTCTGGCAGCCAATAGTAGGCTTTACTGTCCCTATGACTCACACCTGCTGACCGCGTAAGATTGACTATCCCCAATCAGGCTAGGGCACCAGGCGGGGGTCCGATCAATGGTGATTGGCGGAGAGATCCGGGCAAGACCGCACACACAAACAGTTAAGAAGTGCCTGGCTTCCCGTCGCTGCCTGGCGCTTCTTTTCTCCCTCCTTTTTCTTTCTCTCCCACTTCATCTTTTCTTCCACTCCACACATCTCTCTATTCATTTTTATCACAACTCAGTCACCATACAGCATTATACTTATACCGCTTCTGATACTCCGTGCTTTCAAAATGGCCTGCTAAACGCCTCCCCCGCACCAGCTACGTCTTTCTCGTACGAGACAGACACCATAGATCCTCTTCGGACCTCGTCTTTTTCTAATCTCTCCTCTTCCACCCCCTCAGAGTCTCCTGTCCCAGGACCTCTGAACTTTAGCATCGCTTTGCGTAGCTCAAGTTCTCCGAACAACGCTTTCCCGTTCGACATCTCGTCGTTCACCACGGATACCCAACAGCAATCATGGCTTCCCACGCCCCCGCCTCAGCAGCCATCGGCTCCAGTGAATTCGATTCTCAGCGACAACAACAACAATCC